CGAGTTGGGAAAGGAGCGATCATTTCCATCCCTGTAAAAAATTTAAATGAGCACCAGTTACAATTAGGGCGTGGGGATTCCACGGCCCATGTGGTTGGGACGATGCGAGGAGGAAGAATTTTGTCATCCCTAAACTTCTTAGTATATCATTAAAACGATGAAAAAAAAAATGAAAAAAATTTCATAACTTTTTTATTTTATTATAGAAAAATCATAACTGTGTCATTTAAAAGCACTAACTTCAATAATCTACAAAATCACTTTAATAAACATCAATAAATTAAAATTCGGTTTCATCTGAAAACTCGAACAAAATTATAATCAGCAAAATCAAGCAAATAAATAACAATCAATTGAAAAATCAGTTTAATTTTAAAAATAAAATTATTTTCATTATAGTACTATCGAGTATTATGAACAAAATATGTATTAAATATTTTATGCCTAAAAACACATTTAGTTGGTGAATAGAGTTGCATAAGAAGAATGAATTCACTCTATTTTCATTTTTAACTGTCCAGAATAAATATTCTATTCCGAATTCCAGTAGGGATGTTAAACTTAGTTCCTCATTTTTCCTCTCGAATTTTGGAATGAGAATTGAAAATGTGATATTTAATTACTATATATTTTAAAATTGCAATATTTCTTAATTAATTTAATTTAATTTAATTTTATCAAATATGTAAATTTTGATTTTATATTTGTTGGCTCGAAATCCACTTAAGTTCGAGGGGTTGGTTGGGATTTAAAACGCTTGATATTTATATTTATCAGCTTGACAGCTACTAAAATCAATTAAAATCTTTTTAAGTAATGAAATCTTTAGAAATTTACAAGTTATTTGGGACACCTAAATTTTAATAAAATCTATTATAATTTGAATTAGACCTAAATTTTAATGAAATCTATTAAAATAAAAATATGAGTTAAAAAAAAAAACCTATATTTATATAACCTTTTAATATCTGTTAAAAACTGAGATGGAAATACGCCCTTCTACCATTGGAATTACTCCTAACTGAGTTCTTCATGGTATCTGAAAAGTCGAAATCCAATTTACAGAAAGTTTTCATATATTTAATGATTCACCTATTAAATGACTTGCCATGTCATCGATACTTAACATAAGTTAAGTATCGGTACTTAGTAGATCATTTCCGTATATATATTCTTTAGCATTCAAAAACACTATAATTCCACTTAATTAGAATCAATTAATGGGTCATCCATAAGTAAAACAATAAACTAAAGACAAGAATAGAGATATTCTTCACTATATTCTTAGTTAATAACTAAAACATGCTAAATGTTATATAACTTTATGTTGCAAAGATATTTTTTCGCATCTCTTTATGTTGCACCATATATTCCAATGCTTTCGAATATAAAAATATTCAATTTTATTGCTCCCTAATTAAGAAAATCTTGTTACGTTAAAAATTTCTTTTATTTATATGCCCATTTGATATTCGATGATTATTTGTTCACTTGAAGTGAAGAGAGAACATTTTT